GTATTGTCATGAATGACCAATCTCCTGCCAACAAACGTATTGGTCTTTTCGACAAGCTGAATTCGACTTATTCTGTATTTGTCAAAACGCTAATTATTATCAAAAGAGGAAGTTTATTTAAGTACTGAATTTGAATTAAGATTATGTTTACTGTTTTATGATATCGATCGATTGGATAGTTACCGGGATCATTGACCTCCCCGTTTTACCAATGATGTTGAGTCGACGAGGGCGCCATTCTGAAGCACAATTCAATATAATACAAATTTACCCAATAGACATACACAGTGGAACTACATTGTATACGTAACGCTTAAAACACCTACTTGTTATTACTTTTTTGACACTAAATGATAAGTTTATTAATACAGTATGACACAGCTGTATGGTCACTTCACACCATGCTATATAGAATATATGAAACAAGAAATAATATGATAATAACAGGCACGTATTTGGTGATGAAGAAAGCTCGGGAGGATTATCTGAATAAAATATGGTACGCAAAATGAAGTAAAAAAACGCGTAAAAGGGGTGTCATTTAGTTATTTGACGCATATACGCGTGTAATGTGTTCAGGGTCGAATATTTTAAAACATATAAATAAACTGTGAAAAAGGAATCTCACGAATTCATGTTACATCAACTTGGAAACAGTATGATTTTAGTTTGTATATAGGGTATCTATTTTAAGTTTCTGCAGTTGAAAAGCGGTATAATTTCTCAAAAATAAATATGCGTATAGAGGCTATTTTTGAAAAGCTATACTGCAGAATGGGTACCAGGTCTGAGTACCCCCCCCCCCCCCATGGGAAGAAAATTCGATATAATTTTGCAGTATGCATCAAATTCACTGTAGTGTTGAGTGTGTTACAATCACATACAGGCGACACACTAACAACATTTTTCCAAATAAATAGTTAAATATATATATAATAAATGGTTAAGCATGTGACTGCGAATTATTAAATGACATCAGATGTGTTTACTCCAAGTACGTACTGCTAAAAAGAGAATGACTGGTTAGATCCGACTTTCGCGACCGCGTATCAGTCACGTGCCATGAGCCAAAGTGAGGTCAACGTGCTAACAACACACTTTCTCAAACTAACGACCTCGTATAACTGTCTGTAATTAACGCCCTGTTTGTCATGACGATATTTCATTGGAATTTCTTATTGGCCAATATGTTATGAGTGACACATTAACAGACCATTCACGTTATATGTTAGTGATTGCATGTAAAGTGGCCAATCACGATGTATGTTATGAATAGCCAATCACGATTTGATTTCACTGAAGTTTACGCAAGAAAAAAAAACACATACCGCCGTCGTGAGTTCAGTGTTTCTGGTGCATTCATTCTGACAGACCATTGACAAACGCATCTCTATAAGCAACGTATATTGCAACGAAAAGCAAAGCTGCTTTGTGTTATTCGATAAAATCGTGGTTTCTCCACTACGCAGTGGGATTAATACGAAGTTTTGTGTTGGGACGATTAACTAGCGGTTGTTGGCATTACCCCCATTGGAACTGGGCTACTCATATTATTGGATATTGCTTCAGACTGAAAAAAAGCTATCAAGTAAGTAAATGTTATTATATAGTGAATAATTATGCTGATGAAATGTGACATTGTATATCCAAACACATTTCATGAAAATCGCAACTAATGGCCACGGAGTGCGTGCGATTGCACCATGTGACCCACACGCATCAATCGACTACTTGGTTCAGTGATACTAAACAGAGCACACTGATATCACAAACACTTCCAGGCAGTCTAAGTTAAGATATGAATAGCTCAATGGAATAGACAAACTGTTGAAAATAAATTTGCCATTCCGATTTCAATGAGCGAAATAGACGTGAAAGTCAATTCTAAATATATTAGAATGCAACTCGTATACAACCCGGTATACAATTCCAAGGCGACTGTGAAATCATGCAAAGATTGATCACAAATTTAATCAAACCAAGCATGACGTCACTCAACTGTGACCTCGTCTGGCTATCCCAGCATTTTGCTGCAGTTGTACGTTAGTCCGCAATCCACGTATTAATTTAAGCGGAATGACCATAGTGTGCATCAACTTGCATTTCGCATACATGGTCTGAATTTAATTAAATATACTCTTGGTTTCCCCGCAGCGATTCCTATGTAAGTAAACTCATGAAAGATATTGAGTTATTTTCACCCATTTCAGAATTATACACAATCGTTTAATAGAGGAAGCTATCTGCTAGCTTGTTTGAGATATGTGCAATATAAGAGTACATTTAGAAGTTGACGTCTGACGGAAAATCGGCATATATATGCTAATAATACGATTCTACATTGGGTACATTGGGTGGTATTTGAATCACCCTGGACTTGTACCAGAATGTGGAACAACTGAGAGAAGAGACTGAAATCGTGACGCAAATAAATCCGATACAAACATATGAAAATATGGGTGGCAGTGACTGGTACTAAAAATATACGTTTTCATCCAGTGTTTATTGTTGAAAGATTTACAGGGCAAGCGTGTCAACAAATTATTCACATACGTAGATTCGTATTCGTTGGTCAATATACACTCATGGTTGTTACAAACTGTAATATGTATATGATTTGTTGTCGGTGCATTAGGGTTATAGCTCCCACAAAGTTTGACAGTCTCAATAAACAGGAAACACATACAACACATTATATCATTTTGAAAAGTGGGGTCTCACGTTACTGATTCATTTCCTTCATTTCAGAATGATGTTCTTGGAGATTGTGATGATATTGGTCTTTATTCTTTGGTTAATTCGACGAAAAGTTGCAACATCACACAAGGCTGGTCACATTGTACGCTACGAAGGAGGAATCACCTTACCGATTATTGGCAACATAGGGGGCACAGCTGTGTTTGAGCGGAGAGCATCAAAAGTGGATCCGCCGAAAACGACATGAGTAGTCGCATATCTGTGACATGGATGAAAGACCCACCGGAGTGACTAATGGCGGTTTTTGTTTTCAGGAATTTTTATACTGCCATTATCTAGCAAGTGTCCATTTTTGTTCAGTATAGGAAATCAAGAAAAAGGCATGTTATTGTTCAGAATGGTCTTAAAAGGAAAATACACGATGTACAAATAACGTGATACTGTTGTTTTTAGTTATGTCCTTTGTAGGTGTAGCCGAGTCTTGTCTGATCGTACGACGGCTGATACGACATAGCGGTCCTTTATCTTACCGTGAAATAGCAATACCATGTTCTTAGCCTTATATAGCTGTGCCAGCTAGTGGCATGTAGGCCCCGGCACGTGGTGAGACCCCCACCGTTTATGACATGCTACGTTTGATAAATGCAGCAATATGCCACATTGTGTTATAAGAAAAGTACGGATATTGTCGGAATTGAATGTTAATTTATTTAGAATTTCTTGTAAAGTGAAACTATAGAATTAATAAAGAAATGCATACATAGTAAAATGATTACATGGACTGTGTTGTTTCAGAATTCTAAAAAAAACAAAAAAACTTAGATATTTTTGGTGGAAGAATACCCAAATATCACCATTGTTGGAAACGATGACAAAAATGCAATTTTTTTTAATTGGTTTTTGGTGCCACATGTCCTAATATTATGAGAAATATTGTGATTTTGATAGATAAGACAAACACCGATTTAGGCGAAGCACCCTGATAAAGAGAACATGTCGATAGTCTTGTTAGTTCAAATGATACATTTATGAGGTCTGTGGCATTTATAGTTATAGCATTGGTTAACCATTCACACATCTTCCTGTGAAGAGATGCACATATTTTTAAATTGACAGTTTTAGACGATGACTTAAGTAAGTTTAAATGTCCTTTTGTGTAGTTTTGTTTTTGTGGTAGACTACACTTACTCAGACTACCGAATAATCACCATGATTTATGGGGAAAATAACAAACATGTTATCTGTGCATGTAGGAATGCTAATGATGTAGCAACCATGACCTTTGACCTCAAATGGAAAGTGTTATCGTTTACAGTGATGTATAGACAAACAAATATAAGCCATTTTTAGCTCTTGGTGGAACAACAAATTATTTTGTTTTGTTTTTGTTAAAAATGTAATTTTACTAATTAATAGTAGAAGAAATATTAATATTGACTTTAGGATAAAAAATAATTTTAGTTTATCCATCATCAGACATTTTTGTAATAAATGTATGCATCATAACATGGATGATTTACATAATTATCATTCCAATGTGAGATCTCATGTGACAGTACTGTAAATGGAAACTCAATTCAGTCTCAAAGGGTCAGAGATATAATTCTATGACCGACTATTTCACAATCTCCAGTTCCACAGTTGAACTTTGATGACAAACTCAACATTTTTAGATTAATTAAAAAAATGTTTGTTTCTAGTGACCTCATCGTAGAAAAATGTGCAAATACTCATCCTTGACTTGAGTCATAGTCTTACTTCCAGGCTTTTCAGAGCAAGCTTTTATTTTGTTTACTGCAATGCTTTGATTATTCACAAGGTTTCAAGCTTGCTAATTTCACTGATAAATATAACCCATTAAACTAAATTCATGTGAACATATTACATAACTAATTTTTTGCAAATTTGTGTACTTAAAAGTCAATGATTATGTTCAAAACATCAAATTAAAATTAAATGTCAGTGAAAGGAAAGGAAATTATAATGCATATATTGTTTGCTATCAGTCAATTTCCCTGCTGGAATAAGTTTATGCCTCCACCAAGTCTCTTGTGAATAAACAACTTAGCATCTCATGGAAGTAAACCCCCCCCCCCCCCAATTTTAAAATATTTGTTACATTTATTGCTCGGCGGCAGTATTTATTGTGATATCAATGAAAGTGAAATGTATGTTAAGCATACAATCACGTAGTGACACCCCAGTTGAATCAACAACACAACACAGATTTGCAATCTTCACACAGTCTTACTGCAATTACTGCGTGATCTGCTGCTAATTCACATATTTGCTAGTGATATGGCATTACCATGATACTGTTTATCCTATCAACACAGCGTGAAATGCATCTACTGTTAAAGTTCACCAAGGTTGTCTCCATGGAACACAAGATGTTATTGGTTTCATAATTTGAACTATGAACAAACTAGCCACCAAGACATAAATTATGTGCCAACATACTCATAATTTCGAAATCTGATCAAGGATGCTTTTTTCTATGTAATAACTGTGATTAATTAAAATCAAGTACTAACAAGGAAAATGATCAAATGCAGATAAGTATATATATAAAAAATGTCTTGATCTTGTGCAATATTTACAATGTATTACAAAAGTTAGTTATTTGTAATTGAAATATTAATTAACTAAGCAAAAATGAATATAGCAATAGAAAAAATACTAAAGTTGTCAATAACCTGTTTGACCTTTCTGCTTGTGTTATTTCTGTGAAAACTAAGGGAATATTTCTATCAAATACAAATTTAAATAAAACATCGGTGATCGTTATACAGAATGTATATTTTGTTTTCTAAATTTAGTATACAGTAGTTTCACAAATATTGAAATGCTCATCTGTCCTTTGCCACATTATGCAAATTTAGTTTTTACAAATATAATAATGTTTTCAACTAACAACAAGTTTCATTTCTTACTTACTTACTTACTACTTGAATGAATGAATTACCGAGTATTTCAACATTTCAATCCAATGATCTAGCTAAGAGATATAAGAAATAAACAGTTCAATTCATCTCTGTTTCCATTAAGTTTTCCATTCAGCTAAATCAAATGATTTGTTTCTACATGTATCCTATATTACAGCTTGACTAGGATGATATTTGCATATAGTGGTTTCTTTACAGTGCTGACTGGGGTGGTCGTCTTCTTCCCGATCCCGCTAATGGCACATTCCTCTCATCCCAAATAGTAACACCATCGCATGCACAAAACTTTTTGGTGTTCTGAAATAATCCAGCAGACCTTGCAATAATCCCACATGCCAACCTGTAAAAGAATCCAAAGTGGAAAATTCAATTACAGTAATATAACTTTTTGGCTCATCATTGTTCTGCTAATTATCCATAAGACAATTTACAGTCAGCATTTAGTTCCAAACAGTACCGATTTACTAGCTTCTTTGTTCTCAACAATACCTGTTCACCATGAAAGGATTGTTTTTAGAACAATCTTGTTTTCACATGATTCAACTTTGATCTCACTATTTAAAAATGGGATATTTTTTTTGAGTAACAACACCCTGGATTTGAAACCGATGATTCCCTGATCAGCAAGCTGTGTATAGGTGAAGGTCACTCCACTGATGAGCAATGGGGCTGCAGGTAAACCATGCAAATCTTGCCAAATTCAAAAATACTACTTTATTTAAAATATGGAAACACAGATATTAATGGTAGTTATCTGCTGGTTTGGGGTCTCAGTTTGTCCTTGGCCTGTACATTTACTAGAACCAAGACCCAAACAGATCATTTAGCATCTTTCTACTCATCCTTTATCTAGGAGTAAAACCAGATGACATGCACAAATAGATTCCAGATGTTTCATCTTTTTGGCATCAAGGTGCTCACAAGGCCTGCTAGAGCAATATTTTGTCACCATGGCGATGACGTGTCCCTATCCCTCCAACTCATAATTGTCTGAAGTAAGTTACACACGTTTCTGGTATCTAAGCTGACATATGAGTTCTATCAGATTGATGTAGAGATAAAATATTTCACAAGAATTCAATATGGTTTTAATATATCATTATATCCCCATTCGTGACTGCTTTCAAATAACAGAGAGTTAGTTCTCTAGTCCAGGAAGGAGTGGGGAAATTAGCTGTAATGGATAATGTTACAAGAGTTTGGCCTTTTGATATTTGGTTGAAATACTGCAGACAAAGACAATATGGTGTTTTGTTGTTTAGCTCCTGACAATCGTATCAGAAAATGAATTTAAATAGAATTAGATTGAATGTAATGCACTCAATAAAATTAATTATTCATGAATAAAAATCAAATACAAGGACATATAATGAAATTAATACAGGAATGAAACTATATATGACTAAATTTAGTAAGGCGATATAGGGGGATATGTGTCAGACTTTGCTATAAGTTGAGAAACAGCATTCTCTGAATTCACTGAATATATAGTATATTTTTTCTATTATTTTGTCTTGTGTGTATGATGATATGTTACAATATAATGAAACAAAAATAGTGACTATGAAAAAAAGTCATAAAAGCATGAACTATGTCAAGAAGCGTCTAGAATTTATTAAAACTTACTACCGGCTGTCTTCATTACCACCAATAAAGGAA